AAAAAGAGAAAAAGGAAAGGAAAAGAAAAAAGAAAGAAAGAAAGAAAGAAAGAAATACCCACCAGTGGATTTTTATAAAAACCACTAGATTCAACTCGTCAATGAGCATAAATAATTTACTTGTCTGCATAGTTGGTTATGACAAGATATATAATTTATATATTTTATACTGTTGACAAAGTCCCAATGATTATTACAACTGGTGGTACATTCTCCCTCACTTTACATTTCTTCACACATCAAAGAAATACTAAATTTTTTTTAGAGATTAATAAAAAGAGAATGTAATTTTTTTTTCCATTCAAGTAGAGCCTGGGTTTGAGACACTGGAAAGGTAACTTGACTTAGGGAGCATAAAAATCTGGTACCTACTGATTTTCAGCAAAAGCAACTAAAAGAACAGACAGAAGCAATAGTGTTAAATATTTCTTTAAGGCAAAAGAATTCCCCATAGTGATAAATAGGTAGAAAAAATCTGAAGCTCAATATTAAAATCTGTATTAGATTAATAAGATCAATATTACTAGATATATTTTTGGCCTCTGTTGCCTTTTATCATTCTTTGCCTTTTTTTTCATTCCTTTATAAAAGCCTTCCCTTTCACAGGTGTGGTCTTCTTAGTAGCAGTAAAAAATTTTAACTGAGATTTTCATATTTGTAATGCACTATGGAATTGGTGGATATCTGAGATACAATAAAAATGATAGATATCATAATATGTGTTAGTTATATTGTTTCTGTATTTAAAAAAAAAAATCCCTTTCCTAAATCTACAAGATGGATTCTATATGTGGATTTCTGTGTAGAGCAATAAGGAGTTGGATGCAGTAAGCCCCATATGGTGAGGTTCTCTCTGGCTGGGAAGCATGAACCATAAAGTCTCAGAAATCTGGGTCTGCAGCCCTTAGGTTTGCATAAGATCTGAGCTAAAAAGGAAAAAGAAAAAAAAAATCAAGGGAACAGAAGCCACAGACAAAATGCAGAGCTCAGGTCAGACCTGGTCCAACAGCAATTGCCCTTTCCTTCTCTGCTGAATTGCGATGATGGCAACAGGCTCTGATTGTGAAACCAGCCTTTCCCATCCATCCTGCAGATGTAAAAGTTAGTAAGCAGGCCTGGAGAGGGACTGAAGCACATTGAGAACAGCTGTCTGCTGAGAAGGTGGTGCAAAGTAGGGTAATATCCCTTTAAGGTGTGTGTGGGGGGAATCTTTCAGAAAGAAGAATTCAGAAGAGGATATAATTCAGTAACCAAACAAGTCTTATCAAGTTTTAAAACATACAATTTAGAAAATTAATGGTTAGAAACTCAGTGGGGCATGTTCATCAGCAAAATGCTACAATGTTTGAAACCGTATTCCCTGTCAAGCCCGGCAGGGGCCTATCATTACAAGTCTAGAGGGACACACATTCCTAACTATATCAATTCTCTTAAAACAAAAAGGATTCCTTCTCTAGTTTTGCTTTACTTTCCCAGTGGAAACTGCAAAGAAATTAAGTGGGCAAGGAGTTCATTAAATTAATTTTCTTAATCTGAGGGCAAAGTTTTTAGATGCTGTCTGGTAATAGCCCTGGAAACCAGCCCATGTGAGGGAATTTAATAGGATCATTGGTATAGCTTATAGCCTTCTATCAGAAGGTCGCATCTTGAACTACAAAATAAGCATGGTTAATAGACCATCTGGGAAATGCTGCTGTAAGTATTTGTCAAATTGACTGGAGTGGCACTGAGTTGACTCACATACAGGGTGGCCTTGCCAAGTAAGCCACACTTTACCTCACCACAGAAGTTTTCAAGAGCTTGTTCTCTCTTTGCCAACACAGTTAATCCCCAGGGAGGCCCATTTGTTGACAGCAACAGCTCCCTAAGCTCACAGATTCCAGGCTCACCACAGGCACACAGGATTCTGGAGTCAACATGGCCTGGTTCCCTGCAGAGTGCACCAGCAGCAGCCAGGGACACTGCATACTGATATGGTCTATCTTCTCTGGTCAGTGACCCCAGAAAGGCAGTGGGAGGTAGGACCATTATGGGATATGTGTGTTCCACCACGTAAGAGAGCACCATTCTTCTGAAGACGTAAAAACCAATCACTTTTTTGTTGTTCTTTTTAGATATACACAACAGTAGAGTATATATTAATATATTATACATACACGAAGCACAACTTATGAAAGCCCCACTGTAGAAGTTCCTTCAGGCTGGCCTTGCCTGTGTTACTTTCACAGGTTGCATGCCAGCTCTGGTTATTCACAGCCAGGTGAGGTGCCTTGCCCTCAAATCCAACTAACTGCCGAGGTACCCTAAGAGTGGAATTGGGGATCATGAGTTGCACTCCTGCAGGTGATTTGAAATATCAAACTTGTATACAATGTCCTCAGTGCATCATCCTCTTATGATATGCTGGCTGGGCTGTGTCTTGCTAAGCACCACTCAGAGCTTTGCTGGTTTGCCTGTTGCCTTCAATGAAGCCACATGATATACTTACAGATCACTTAGTCAAGCAACATGGTCTCTCTTCACAGAAGTAACCGAATATCTTACGTTTCAATAACTCTCCCACTGAAGAACAAGTCCTTAGAGCGCAGAGTCACTCTGCTCTGTAGGTTCTGCAGGTTCAGCTGAGCCCATTCAGGGGACGAGTAGGAGCCTGGCAGGATTGTTCTGGCCTTGGCACAGACCCTCCCACAATGTGATAATCCCAGCAGGCCAGGCCTGAGGTGGAGGCCACCAACCTTCCCTGCTTGGGAGTCAACTTCTGACCTCTTGCTCCCCCTCCCCCAGAACTACTTTGTCCCAAATGCTGGCTGCTCAGTCATAAAATATTCTTTAGTTAAGAGGTTTGGCTCCTGTGTGAGTTACTGTGGTTTGAAAAGAAAAAAAAAGGGGGAAATTAGAACATCACAGTTTAGCCAAGACCCAAAACCTAACCAAGGTAAAGTGGAAACAGGCTGAGAAAGGTCAAAGTAAAAGGCAGGGAGAGGGGCTTTTATTTGCTTGCTGTTTAGAGTTGTGCAGCTCATTACTTGTTGATAAGATGATTTTCCAGAAGTGTCTTTTCTGTAGTTTTGCTTCTCAGGGGAGTAGGCTATTAAAAATATGCATTTTTTAGGGACAGATTATTTTCTTTGGATTCTCACAGTGGCTAGAAGGATTCCTGTGAGCCCTCCAGCTGCTTTACTAACACACCCTTAAATGTGCAGAAACAGGCTAGGGACCAAAGCCCCCCAGGCAGAGGTTTTCCTGAGGTCCACAGAAACCATATCTGTGAGCAGAATGAGAGGAAGTGGCATAGTTCCAGCTGTGTGCCAGAGAGGAGTGCCGGAACACTGACGGCTCTGCTTGGCTTTGCAGACAAAACTTGCTTGTGATTGAGTAGTTGTGTCCCTGGGCCACCCATCATTCCTTCCTTAAAAAGGAAAACAAAACTTAACATGATGTCCAATCTAGCTTAGTGCTTTACTTTCATCTCGATCATTTTTAACATTCCCTTTACATAGAATAAAGTCTTTTGAATAAAAGATGCACAATCTCTCTAAAGCCTCTTCCTCCCCATTTCTCTCCTTTCTATATCTCTGGTTGTGTGGGCACCGGGAGGCCCACCAGCCCCTGGCTTGCCCTTCAGTGTCTGGTCTTCTAGGCCCCGAGCCTTGTCCCTTGGTGGTGCTGATTTCACCAGCTCCATGTTCTGCAGGAGAAGTGTGGCTTGTTCCTTTAGGTTAGAATGTTCACACAGAGCATCAGCCACCTTCTTCTGGCTGATTTGACCTCCTTATATTTCTCACTGGCTCTGAAGTAGTACCCCCTTGCCTTGACCTCCCCCTAGTCTTTGCAAGATCTTCTGGCCAGACCCTGGTAGGTGTCTGACAGCCTATTTATCTCCAAATCCATCATGTGAACCACTTGGGCACTTATGTCAGCTCAAGACTCAGCTCAGGCACCATGGCACATGGCACCAATAACCAGACATCTAGCTTCTGACCTATGCATGCATTCCTGATGCCTCTTCCTGATGCTTCCATCTTCTTTGTGGACAGACAGCCTTTCATTACTGAGTATAAAATGATGTATTACTTATGAGTCTTCTGTGCAGGGATGCCTGGTGGCCTGAGAGTCAGCACCTTCTCAGAGACCAGAATGGGAGGCCATGCAAGAGCCAGCTGGCTTTCTCCCCAACCTGTGGGAACAAAGCCCAGAAGGGGCAGGGAGGAGACACAGTCCCCCTGCTGCTCTCCCTTACCTAGGTCTCCCCTTATGTTCCTCAGGAAAGAGAGAAGAGATGTGATGTTCCTTTACCTTCTTCTTCTATTTTTCTCTAAATAAACCTTAAACAAGGGTACACGGAGTGTCACCTCTTCTTTCACACAAGAAAGTAGGAACAGGACCCTCTAGCCTTGCTCCCATGGGCTCTCAGAGTATAACAGAGAAATTCAACAGGTTTCTCTTTCTAGAGAGCCTGATTTTAAAGCTATATACTCTCCCACAGAAGAGAAACGCCAGACCTTTCCTGTGAAAGGTGTGTATTTTTCATAGCTTGACCTTCAGAATAAAAAAAAAATGGCAATGAAATATCCATTAAAGGAGAAAGTACAAATGAACAGTTTAATATTTGCTGAAGTATTTTCAATACTTAAACCTCACAAGGCCAGGATAGCCCAGCTGCACAACTCTGGGGGTAGGATTATTGCCTCTGGAGTTGTCCTATGTGTCACTGTGATCCGCTTTTGTTTTAAATACATGTGTCCATTTGGGGCGAGATATTAAGTGGAAAGAAAGGGTGCCAAATGGTAGAACACCTTTTTTTTTTTAATATGAAATGCTTCACAAAGGATGAGGCAGTAATCAAATTCTTAGCCATGATTTTCTTAAAATATTTGCTCCTGTAATGGAGGAATAATCAGGAAAAAGAGTTTCATTCAAGTTAAGGGGCAAGAAGCTCTGGATGAATACATTTTGACTGTCCTGCTCTTTCATCTTCTTCATCAAGAATGCCTGCATGCGTGCTTGCTTTGACAGCACTTATACTAAAACTGGAACAATACAGAGAAGATTAGACATGGCCTCTGTGCACAGATGACACACAAATTTGTGAAGCATTCCATATTTAAAAAAAATACCTATGCACAGCACCCATGACCACTAACATCTCTAACCTGTGAGGCCATTCCTAGGACAGGATCCTGATGCTTCTCTGTTTCCACCTTCTGTATAAACAGACAAGCTTTCTGGGTCTCAGTCTTCTTTTGGTAATTTCCCATGAAAACATAAAAAATATATATTAAATATGTGACATGCTGAATTTTACTCTTTAAAACGGTGAATTATGTCAATAAAGCTATTATTTTTATCTATTTACTTTTTTGGTACTGGAAACTAAAGCCAAGGGCCCTTAACCTCTGAGTCACATCTCCAACCACCCTTTAAAGTATTTTATTTAGAGACAGGATTTTACTCATTTGCTTAAGGCCTCACGAAGTTGCAGAGGGTGACCTTAAACTTGGATCCCACTGCCTCATCCCCAGCCACTGAGGTTACAGGCATGAGCCACCATGCCTGGGGCAAAGCTGTTCTTATTTAAAAAGTGGAGGGAGGGGGAAGACGTGTAATCATCCACACACAATATTATTTTTTGCTCATTAAAAAAATAAGGGCCATATCTCATGAGTTTCTCTGATCTTGGATTTCCTTACTAATCCATAAACTGGAGAAATCCCTCCAAATTAATTTACATCATCCATTTATATGATTTTTGATGCAAATACATTTTATGAATCTAGTGACATATTCAACTCTTCCTTTAATAAGCACTTTATTTCTGTTTTTTTCCAATAGAATAATTCTTCACTTAAACACTTTGTAAATATATCTTTTTCATATTGGTGCTATCTTTTTGTCTAGAATAAATTCATGAGTAAAATTGTGTGGACTATGGTATATATTTTCAATTTTATAAATATTGGCAGAGTGCTTTTCAAAAAAGACTCTGAAAATTTACATTTCTACAAGCACCATGGTAGATATTTTCCTGTATCTCTACCAAAAATAGGTATTGTACTTTTTTTGACAGTTTAATGGATATAAATTATCTCATTGTTGCTTCAACCTGATTGAATGTTTTTAATCGTCTGTTTTCAATTGACTGTATCTACTACCTCAACATCTATTGGTTTGTTTTCCTTTTTATTGTTCATTTGTAAAACTTATTTGCATAATAGAGATATTGACCATTTTTCTGTCCTATATATCATAAATATTTTCCCATGGTGGTCTCTTTTTCAAACAATTTTTTAAATTTTAAATATTGGAGCACAGCTATATTTTCTAATCAACCATACTAAATGTCTGTGTTTCAAAAATTGGTAAAAAAAAAAAAAAACAGTCTTCCCCTCCTCCAGGATTGTATATATAGCAATTTTAAAAAATATATATTTATTTATTTTTCAGGTGTAGATGGACACAACACAATGCCTTTATTTTTATGTGGTGCTGAGGATGGAACCCGGGTCCCACCCGTGCTAGGCGAGCGCTCTACCGCTGAGCCACAATCCCAGCCCCTATATAGCAATTTTGAAGATTTTGTCGTTTTAATTTTTACATGGAAGTCTTTAATACATCTGGAATTTTTTTTTTTTTTTTACATTTAGTATAAATTACCAGTCCAACTTAATTTTCTTCCAGATGGATAACCCCATATGGATTAAACCCTCTCTTTCTACTGTGTGAAATATCACCTTTGTCATATATTAAACTCCGGTTTATACTAGGATTTATTTCTCTTCATTCTCTTTATTCCATTGGCCTGTCTTCCTGTGCTAAGATTGTAGTCTTTTGTTTGTGGTAGCTTTATAGAATGCTTGCAGTAGACCACGTTCCCTCCTCAACATTCTCAGTGATCACCTTTAGTTTACTTTATTTCATGTGCACCAGGATAAGGAGTCATTGCAGAAGTCATACTGCTGGAGATGGAGAAGACAAGGGAAAAGAAATACTGCAGAATAAAAGCTATCCATAATAAAAATAATATGTAAGATAAAATCCCATTCCCCTCTTGTACTTTACCCAACTCCATAGAAGATGATGGTGTGAATGTTAGCATGGGCTACATTATCACCATGATGATATTTCCAAATGAGCACCATAACGTTACCCAGTCACTATGGTTATGAGAAAGTGTCTGAGATCTCTGCCCCTGGAAGTGAGTTTGATCTCTGAATGCAGAAATGAGTGTAGTTGGTAAAATATGGCCTTTTGAAAGGGGAATCATCTTTTTCTCCAAATGATCAACCATACTAAATAACAAGCAGAGCTGGACATTGTTTTGGAAGTTAAATATCCTGATGGACCCAACTCATTATTGCACATTTGTATTGCACTCTGAAAAAGGCTAAGTGCACAAAGAAAAAAATGGCTTCATGGACAAGCTTGGATTTTTCCCGTGTGTGAACAGATCCTTTCTGCCTCAGGAGTTTTTATTTACACCAGCCCTCCCAAGGGTCCTGCCATCTGCTCATTCTTTCTCACGGTCTCAGCATCCTATGTTAAGAGTTCAGATTTACATAATTGGTTATTCCTGATTGGAGTAGATGTGTTTTAACTCACTTTGGGAAATATGCAGTAAAAAAACAAACAAACAAGCAAAAAGCCCTCACATTGTAGATTTTTCAGAAGACTTATTTTCTTTTTCCTTTCAAATTCTTTTTTTTCTATTCCTGAGCTTCTTCAGTCTTTATGATTGTTTTCCTTATTTAGTGAACTTGATTATATTTTCTGTGAAACTATTATAGATTTACCCCTTATCCTATCCAAAAAGAATGTGTAATTTATTTACAATTTATTTATTCACTATTTAGTGAATAGATTTTGTATAGATTTTGTGATAGAAGAATGACAAGGGAAGATTTAATGAAGTCATTTTAGCAAATTGATTAGCAGTTATCTTGTATGTGAAGTTTCATTGGGTTATTGAGGAGGCTTATAGAAAAAAGATGGTATAGAAAAACCTAAATGCCCACTTTCTCTTTTTCTTATTGCATCATGTATTAGGATGGGATATTTATGTTCCTCCCATCAGGGTGTTTTATGTATAATTCTTCTGTGAAAAAGTAGGTATCATAGATTAGATTTTTATAATTAGTTTTCAAATGTTCAAATTCGAATCATCAGAAAGATTTATATAAGGTGGAATTTTGGATTGTTTATTGAAAGCAGCCTATCAAGAATGTTATGTGGGATGAAGGTTTCAAATGACAAGTGATTAGTTTTTAAGTAGAGCTTCATCTGCCCTCTGAAACTACATCAAAAGATGAATTTCAAGCCCTCTTGGCCAGCTTTTCAGAGGAGATTTTTACACAAAGCTTCTTAATTGGTTGTCAGTAACACCTAGTTCTTTTCTGTTCATAAAATGTGGGAGAAGAAAAGAGGGACATAAACTCAACAATATGATTGTGTTGGAAATTATAGACACAGGCTTTGATTCCACATCTGTAGACTTGTTACTAAAGGCAAGGATTCCCCCACACTTCCCCTCATCATTATTTTAAAGCTGGTGTCAATTCAAGATAAGAAGAAAGTTCTAAAATTTAAGTTTATTTTAATATCAAAGGGAGATAATGAAAACCACATTTTTATCAAAATTATAAGCTTATGTTTTCTTTTTGAATTAAACTATATTAAAAAGTCAATTCCTAAATTTTAGCATAGAAATTCACAAAGAGTATGGGCAATGTTTATTTAGCCAGGGATTGGGGGGGGGTCATAATTAAGTGTTGTGTTAATTTGATCTTGTTTAGAGTTTGAAATCAAAAGGAATATGATACATGAAAAGAGAAAGGTTTCTTTTTAAAATAAAAACCTTAGAAATCAAAGTCAAATAAAAAACAATTTTTAAAATTTAAGTCAAAAAAGTTTTGGAGTGAATAAGACAGTAATGGAAAGAATTATATGACAGGAACTGGGCATGGTGGTGTATACCTGTAATCTCAACAGCTTAGGAGGCTGAGCCTGAGTAAAGATTGTTGGAAGCAGCAGAGAAGACTGAGTCCTAAAAAGGCCAAGCAGACAGGAAAGAGAGCTGCTACAGCTCTGAAGGGATCACACTGAGAGCCCATCAGGATGAGAAATGCTTCAATGCCTTCCCATGTAGACACAGGTGCTAAGAATTAGAAGGATTTCATTCTCCATCATGCCTTCAGACTCTATCTTTCAGAACTTAGTGTTAAAGATGAGAGTGTGGAAGTTGGATGTGTAGCTCAGTGGTAGAGCACTTGCCAAGCATGTTCTGGATCTTTTCACCAGCAAAACACACAAACACAAAGAGATGAGAGCATGAGAGAGTATAACTTTCATCTCTCATAATGGGAATTTAGTTGACTTACAGGCAATAAAATTATAATGTCTCAATAAGAGCATAGATTGATTTATACTAATTACATAAAAATATAAAAAAGAAAGTGCAGGGGATGGGAATGAATCTGCAAGATAGGTAGACTTTTAAAATCTTAGTGCATTTAGCTGAAGCCAGAGAAGAGGTTCCTCTAACAAAAACATGATTCTATTCTCTGTGTTTTCTTCCTCCTCCTCCTCCTCCTCCCCTTCTTCCTTCCCTCCTCCACCTCCTCCTCCCCCTCCTTCTCCTCCTCTTCTTCTTCTTTTTCTTTTCAGTACAAGGACTGAGCCCAGGGATGCTTTACCATTCAGCTACATCCTAAGTCCTTTGTGTTTTTCATTTTGAGGCAGGTCTCACTAAATTTCTGAGTATCTTGGTAAATTATCTAGGCTGGCCTTGAACTTGTGATACTACTGCCTTAGCTTTAAGTCGCTGGGATGATAGGCATGTGCCCCAGCATCCAGCAAGGATCTAATTCTGTTTCAGAGCTGTTTTAAAGCATGGTCTGCATCAGCAGAATGGCAGGAGTTTGTAAAAGCTCCTTAGGGCCTCTGACTCCACACTCTGCTATGAAATCCTCTGTTGCAGGAGCTGCCTTCAGTGAGGCAGCAGCAGTTTTTCTTCTCTTTCACTTTCCTTGCTCAATTTATTTATTTATTAAAGCTTTTTTGTTTGACCAGTCAGAAGTTTATATATATATATATATATATATATATATACACA